CAGGACCTGGGAGAGGAAATATCCCAGTCCCTCACGGAGTGGCAGGTCGGTTGGGGGGCACCCTTAACTATGAGGGGGCCAGGCCCAGGCAGACCCAACCCAGAGCTATACTATCTGTATAGCAAGGGGCTATCTGGTTCCAAGTCTGGACTAGCCCCAGCTACCAGGTCCTCACCTTTCAAAGCATGTTCATGGAGAAGCCCCTGTCTGAACAGGGTGAGAGGCAGGGGGAGGAAGCTCCTAGGACTTCCCTGCCTGGGACCCAGCGGAGCCCTGAGCCCTGTGAGGGAGCCCGTGCCATCATGGGCACTAAAGGGGCCTCACCACAGGCCCCATCGAGCACCCAGCGACCTCCCCTTCAGGTCCCCCAGCCTCTTGCTCACTGACAGCTTCCTATGTGCTCTGGTGGTGGCTATGTGCCGTGGAGTCGGTTCTGACTCATAGTAACCCTGTACAGGGTTATGAGGCTGTTAATCTTTACGGGAGCAGAACGCCTCCTCTTTCTCCCGCGAACAGCTGGTAGTTTCGAACTGCTGACCTTGTGGTTCGCAGCCCGATTCGTAACTGCTACGCTACCAGAGCTCCTTCCTATGTGCTCTAGTCTCCTGAAAACCCTTTGATCTTCCACGAAGAGCCTTCACTGATCTGGGTAGATGAATCTGGGTAGATGATCGGGTGTTGGCAAATCAGCTTCACCAGGCATTTCATGGACCCCTGGATCTGTGACCCCCCTCCCAAACACATTTGCACCTGCAGAGAATCTCCAAACCATCTTAGGAGCTAACTTGACAATTACGTTTTACATAAAAACCCACTACTGAGTCAATTCCATCGCCAACCTTGCAGTTCAAACCAACCTTGTTGTCCAGCGCATTAACCCGCAGTGCCACACCAGAACTCCTGCTCTTAATCACATGGAGCATTTGTTAAGTACTTGGATACAAATGTGCCTTGGAAGAAAAACCTGCCAAACCACTTCCTTAAAGTCACAGCTATGAAAAACCCAATAGAACTCAGTTCCATAATTTTCCAGTGGCAAACCACACAGTGACTGTGTGACCAGTTCTGGCCAGTGTGGTACCAGGGGAAGCACCACCAAGGAGAGGGGCCATGATACTCATAGCTGTCCACCCTGAAGGCCCACCCTACCCACCATGGGCAAGCCAGACCAAAGCCAGAGGCCCAGCCAAGCCAAGCCTAGTGACTCATGTGTACAGATACGCCTGGAATTTCCCTATTTCACAAGTGACTCATACTTAATTTACTTCAAACTAATACTGTAAGGAAAAGAAGTGTTGTTAAATAAATCCATCATGACCCCCAGGGAACCTGCGGGTCCAGGCAGTCATGGTTAGCTGTGCTGACAGAGCCCCGTGACCCCCTGGTGAAAAAAACACCCTCACAGAGCTGCCCATTACAGCACACACAAGGATCAAGGGGTGCCCCCCACCCCCAGATGATGCAGGGCTTAGCCGGACCACCACCTGATTTCAACAACACATGTGTTTTGAAAAACAAGGAGAGGGCCATTCATAGACTAAAGAGACCTGGGAACCACACTGGCTGATGCTAGCACATGGAGCTGGGGTCGTCTCAGATGGAAACCCACTTTGGGAGAGGATGTAATGGCGAGTATTAGAGTCATGGGGTGCTTTTTTACCTGTTAGAGACACACATGAGCGGATTTTGGGTTTGCTTCTCTGTCAATTGGCCTATGACCCAAATTGACCACATCACTGCCCTCCTCTCTCTGCTTCTGGATATATTTTGAAATGTCCCCAAATTCAAAGTTAAAGAATTCAAACCCACATGATAAGTTTGGTTTGAAGACCCTCTGCAAGTTCGGCAGAGGCTGACTGCAAAGTATTACCATCCAGTCAGCGCTGCCTCACAGTGACCCATGCATCTCAGAGCAGAACTGAGTTTCACAGGGTTGTTCAGGGCTGTGATTTCGTGGAAGTAGATTGCCAGGCCTTTCTTTCAAGGCCCGTCTGTATCCAAGGGACTCCAAAGAGATGGCTTAAGTGGCTGGGTATGAAGAAGTCAATGGCATTTTGTTTTTCTCAATCCCCTTCCCCTCCAAGTCTTGCTCTCCATGGATGAATAGTCACGCTAAATGTCCTTGCTGCTCCATGTCCTTCTTTCCCCACTTGGTTTGGCTCATAAGACACCCAAGTGTCTTGTGGTGCTCATCAGATGGATGTCATCAAAAGAGGCTCCGGTGAGGCCGACATTCCAAATGACCCTTGAGCCCTTGCTCTTAGGTGCTTCCATGTCTGTGTTCCCTGTCTCCTTACCTCCCATCCTGGCTAATGCAGACAGTCTCAACAGCACATATGCCTGAAGTGACCGGCTGTTTAACATATACATCATCTACACCAAGGTGGCCCACGGCCCCTACTGCCCACTATACACACTTGTCCTGCACCTATGGAAGCTGGCCTCAATGGCTCCATTGAGAACATTCAAATAGTTAGTTGTGTGCCCCTCTCAGGAGACTCTGGCCTCTAATCAAAAGGTTGGAGGTTTGCGCTCACCCAGAGGCACATTGGAAGAAAAGTCTGAGGATCTGTTTCTGAAAAATCAACCACAGGAAACTCCATACAGCACAGCTCTACTCTGACACTGAATCAAAGTCTACTCCTTGGTAGCTGGTGTTTCTCCTCCCACTGCCTGGACCTTCACGTTGAATGATCACAGCCGCTGTTTGGTGGTGGTGGTGGTTCTGTGCCGTGGAGTCGGTTCCGACTCATAGTGACCCTGTACAGGGTTTCCGAGGCTGTAAATCTTTACGGGAGCAGAAAGCCTCATCTTTCTCCTGCTGTTTAGGACTGTAAATATTCAGAGATTGAATGTCGACAGCTTGATTATTAGAATGAGGTTCTTACGGTTGTTCTCCAAATTGCTGCTAAATGCTGAAGACTGCTGTGCTGAACTGAGGCCCACCTCTACTGGATACTTTTGGAGCCCTACAAACACCCAGCTCCGTGTACTGACCACAGATCCTTCAGGATCCAGCTCTATGTGCTCTCCAGGCTGGGGAAGGGGCCTCCGTGGGACCGAGCTCGCCGGCCAACCACTTCCAACTGCCAGGACAGACTCTGGGTGTGTAGGCAACCTCTCCAAGGAGCAGCAGATTTCTAAGGGAAATGGGCAGTAAGAATATCTGCTGTTTACAAAACCCACGTAAGTTTCCAAGTCCACAGGTTGTGGACATGTGGATGGTCCCCACCTCTGGCTCTCCACTGCAGGATGGAGAATTGAAAGGCACATCTTGTTTTGGTCTGTAAGTGTGGAAATGACTTCTGCTTTAGCCAAGATGAAGAAAGATTTACCCTGCTAGAAGCAACCTAACAACTGGATGAGGCATGAGACAATAGCTCACAAAACATCAGCAAGGGAGAGCAATCCCTGAGAGACAGGAAACGGGAGGCAAGCCACAGTTTCAAGAATGAACCCCAAACACAAGAACCAATGAAAAAGGACCTGGATCAGTGATAAAGAGGAAGCCTTGAACTTGAAAGTGCGGGGATCGAGAGAGGTGATCCCCCAGAACAGGGTTGGGTACCTCTAGAAGCTCCTTCCAGCCTCAGCTGGGACACTGGCTTGTTCCTCATGTCCTCTATACAGGCTCCTTCTTGTTGCCAATGCCATGCTTCCACCTCACTCCATGGGTATAAGCCTCCCCAGCATCCTTTTCTGCTGAGGCAGAGCCAGCATTCTGAAAGGAAATCTGTTAACCATCTCAAAGTATAACAGCTCCTGTCCCAGCTCCTGAAGGCTGATCCCAGCATCCTGTACATGGTTGGGTCCCAGTTGATATTCCTGGAACCAAACCACCCCTACCCAACACTGTAGCGCCTCCACGCGCCCAGCCTTCCCCTCCCCCGGGTGGCTTTCCTTCTGCTATTTTGTGGTCCCATGTACTGGCAAGCCCAGCACAGACCTGTCCATCAGGGTGACCACTGGGCCTGAGCCTCTCCTACAGAACCCCACTGCACCCACTGGAAAATGCATATGTCTGTGACCCTCCAAGGAACACGGGGGGGGGGGGGTAGGGTAGGGAGGGATGCTGGGTCACAATGGATAAGACCTGCTCAGAAAGAGTCCCTTCTCCAGCCAGGATGCCTTTCCCCACAAGGCCACAGTCCCTCATGGCACCATGGCCCCACTGCGTGCAGCGCAGCCATCACGGTCTGCACCCCCATGTTCCCGCTCAACCCACCTCCACCGTTTCCGCATGCCCGGACCTCAGCGCGCCGTCCTGGCTCTAAGTCTGTTTTTTCAAAGCCCTGGGGGTTCTGTAAAAACTCTTAGGATTCTTGTAACCCCGTTTATTTCTCTTCAAGCTGGCAGTCCGACAGACTCCAATTATTCTTGCTCCTCAATTATTTATCTTCCTGCCCTTCCCCCTGACTCCTGGGAGCGGGCCGAGGCCCACTCCTCCCCACTCCAAATCAAGCAATTCCAAAATCTGATGCCGTCAATTTTTTATCACCCAAGCTGGGAACATGGTATTGAAGCTGAGCATAGGGTCAGAGTCTGGCCAGTTCATCAAGCCCTTTCTACCCATGCCAGGAGGCTGTGGTCCGCCAGTCAGGGTGTCTGGGGGTCTCATTGTCCTCAGAGTTTCCAGAGTCCACCCCAGACATGGACAGGCCATGCCACCAGCCCTGTTCTCAGGAGTCAGGGGCTGTGGAGTGCAGCTGGGACCCTGGAAACACATGTGTCTCTCTTCTCCCTACAGGTCTAACGGGACAGCCAGAGGGAAGGGCCTGGCCACAGCTGAGCCTGTGACAGCTTACCCAGGTAGATGGGCAGAGACAGCCCTTGGGAGGGAAGGCAAGGGTGTGGTCCCTGAGCGAGGTCCAGCCTCCAGCTATCATCCTGATTCAATAGTGCCAGGACACAGCCAACCACTTACATCAGTGCCTGGAAGCAGGGCCCACCTGCTCACTCCTCTGACAACATCCTGACTTCAACCCTCGCCTCACACCCAGCCGGGCCCCCAGCCCCTGGGAATCAGAAAGCTCGGTGGGTGTTGGCTGGGATAGTGCACCCTACCGGACCCAGCCTCCTTGTCTCCCAAACCAACTCTGTGGGCATCCGCAGCAGAAAAGGGCCCTGCAGGGAGCTGAGGTGGGGCAGGACGACCCGTCCCGAAGCAGTGCCAAGGGTGAGGCCACACTGCTGTGCCCTGCTGCGGGCTTCAAGCCAGGCAGCCAGCTCTGGCTTCTCTGCTGGAGTGCCCTTCCTTGAGAACTCCTCTGCTCCCACTCTACCCTTCACACATGTTGCAGGCTCCCAGCTCAGAGGGCCTGGCTCTGTGGTCTTCTCTGAAAACCATTATTTACGGGCATCCTTAAGCCACAGAGGGGCCATGGGGCCCAAGACAGCACTGGAGAGGGTCCAGAGAAAGACTCAAGGCACCTCACTGCCTCTAGGTAGGAACTGTGTTCCTCTCAGACCCTTGGTCTCTTCCTCACCCGCTGGAGAGTGTCCGTTTGTCAGGTGGGGGCTTGGGCACATTATCTGTCCACAGGTAGTCAGTACGTGGAAGTCACCTCCTGCTGTGCACCCCCCCCATGCACCCCCTCCATGGCCTCCAAACACCTATGCCACACACCAAGCAGATGGGGTTCCCAGCATGGGCCCATCGCTAAGTGACACAGAAATGCAAGCTCTTCCCAAACCAGGAGACACAGAGGAGAGGAAGAACCACTCTGACCCTCAGTCTCCTCATCGGGGTCAGGGGTGGGGTATAATAAGGTGATGTGATCAATTCAGGGGAGGTTTGGAGTGTTAGGAGCAATGTGAAGCCAGCATCTCAATGTGTTTCCATACATCTGGGGTGAGGGGCATCACCCCATGGGAGCAGCTGCGGCCCGATCACCCAGTGAGACAGTGTCCCCTGGTGCAGCCAGCCACTGCCTCATGGTCCTGATTCCTCATGGCCCCACAGCTGAGTGTCGGCTGAATGTCTGTCTCTCACCTGCAGAGCGGTCTGTGGGTGTCTTGGGGACAGAGTGTTGAGCATTCCTGGAGTGACCAGGGAGTGGGGGCAGAAGGAGGCCCTGGCTGCCAGTGGAGCACATGCCCAGAGGGGCTGAGACAGACGGAGACAGAAGGGAACACGGAGCCTTGGCCAGTGGAGCTGGGGAGAGGGAGGACTCAAGGGCGTTTGAGAGACAAGCCAATGGAAACAGCCTCTGGATGGTGTCATGGAGCCTCGGCATGAGGGTACAGGGACTGGAGAGAGGAATAGGCATGAAAAGAGATGACAGAGGACAGCAGGCCATAAATTGAAGGATGACCGTGTCCTGGCAGGGTGACCGCCACATCCATGGCCACTGAGCTGACAACTCAGAGTCAAGAGACTGAGGTCCCTGAGCAGTGGACACGGATCCACCTGCAGTCCCAGGGCTAAAATGGTCATGCCAGGGACCAGGCCTCAGTTGGCCAGCTGCCACCAGGGCAATGCCAGAGTCAGAACAGCACCCCACCTCTTTCCCCTGACCCTTCAAGCTGAGCCCCATGCTGACTATCCATGGACCCTGGACAGACCCTTGTGTATGCCTGAGGAGGAGTGGCTATTGGTGAAATGGACAAGCACCACACACACATTCAGTGACACAAGGAAACTTGCTGGGTTCTGGCCACCCTCTCCCAGCATCTCCCAGAATCATACCGGGGTGCGGATTTCTCCGACACTGACCCGCTCCCAGGGTTGAGGGGTCATGTGGGGCAACGTCCAGGCTGAGATGCAGGTCCAAAGGGCTGGGTTCAGGAAGGACACCAGTCTAGGACCCAAGGAAGCACCACACACCAGGTCTTGGAGCTGGGTGCAGGTGACTCTGAAGCCAGCTCGGCAGCCCCCAGACCAGATGCCTCCTGCCGGCCTCCCCATGTGTCAGGGTCAGCTCAGGGCTGCATCCAGGCCCCGTGGCTGATGCCCACTGTGAGCTCACACACTCCCCGGTTCCCTTGGCCGCAGGCTGGTTGAGCTGTGTGTTCCCAGGAACGCCTAGAAACCAGTGCTGCTTGGAAACATGGCGCTGTTGCCATGCGCTCCTTTCTTCAGCCAGTCGGTTGGGGAGGCTGCCCGCGGCTGTTTGCCAGGCTGGCCCCTGCACCCCGGCCATGGCCCAGGCCTGACAGGCCGAGGAATGGGCGCCCCTTGCCAGCCCCCAGCCCAGGCCCCCAGCACTATGACTGCATCTGCAGGCACTGACTCGGCCCAGTACGTTCCTGCATCCGCCCCAGGGCCCACTTTTGCCTCGCGCCAGGAATGCTTGGTCGTGCACAGCGCCCTCCGACGGCCGAGTTAAGAATGACTGCAAGGCGACTCACAGCAGTGTGCGCCCCAGACCTGGTGTCTGGACTGCTGCCCGCTATCCACCATGGCCACCCTTTTGCTCTGGTTCCGAGGCGGCCACATTCCTGGTGTGAGCTGGGGGCCGGTGAGCTTTTTCCACGCTTCGGTGCCAGCCGGAGGACCCAGGGGAGGGGAGAGGGTGGTTTCCATGGCAACCTCACTTTTGTTATTTCTTATTTTCTTTTTTATGGCTTCTCCAACTTTGAAGCTCTCCAGACAGTTTACAGACAGCCAAAAGGAAAAGTGCTTTTCCTTCACTCCCAAGAAGCCCTGTGTTCCCCTCCAGGGGAGCTGCCTTCCCAGGGCTCTGCCACCCCGGGAGGCTTGTGCTACCCCTGCCCTGAGCCTAAGGGGTGCGGTGGGGCTTCAGAACAAATGGAATGTACCCTATTTTCAGAACGTCTGCTTTGTCTGTAAATGTTCTAGAGAAAATGAAGTATTTTCCTTCTGAAAAGATGAGGAAGTCTTTTCAAAAGCAAACCTCCCCACTCTGGCCAGGTTACATGACCCAAGTCAGCTGAGGGTAGGTCTCTGCCTGCATAGGGGGCTTGGGGGACCTGGTGTGGTTCTGTAAAATAAGCACTGAACTGCTAACTGCAAGGTTGGTGGTTCAAACCCACAAGCTACTCCTTGGAAACACTTACAGTGTCACTATGAATCAGAACCAACTCAGCGGCACTTTAAAGTCTTGGTGTGATACTGTAGGATAAGCACTTGACTGCTAGCCATAAGGTTGGCAGTTCAAACCCACCAGCCGTTCCTTGGAAACCTTATGCAGGTTCCCTATGAGTCGAAACCGACTCAATGGCATTTACCAACAACAATCTACCCCCTGAGATGCTGGCTGAGTCGGGCCAAGATGGAAGCGGTGCCACTCAGCAATTCATCCAGATCCACAGCACCCCAGCAGTGAGACCATGAGGCCAGGACCTCTGGGTGGGGTGGCAGACAAGTTGCCCAGTGCCAAGGAGACACATGATGAGGTGGCCAGGCCTCGAGCAGGTCCCAAGACAATGACAACAGGGCCAGGGTTGGGGTCAGGGGAAGAGGACCATGGGCAGCATAGACAGGCAGCAGGTGGGCTGGGGACTTTGTGGCTCATGGAAGCAAGAGGAGGGGAGATGATCGGATTCTCATCTTTTAAACCAGACTCTGGCTTTTGAGTGGGATTCAGTGCCAGAGACAGAGGCCAGGGCAGATGGTGGTTCCTATAGCGGTCAGAGCCATGGCCTGCTTCCATCACTGCCCACTGGGGGATGCCTGAGAATGAGCACCCCATCTTTTTCAGGGGAGTATGTGATCATGATCCACGACGTGACCACCCCTCCATTCCTGGGCCGCCCACTGCCCACTGCCTTCAAGCACCTGCGCGTCTTGGCAAAGGGCACCAGTCCGCAGCCCCACCTTCCTGGAGGTGTCCTGGAAGCCTCGAACTAGAGGTGGCCACTGTGTCCTGAGAGCAGTAGTGTACCGTGACCCCAAGGAGGGGCAAGGCAAGAGTGCCGTCCACCCTCCAGATGACCCTAAGCGACCCTGGTCCCCACATTGTGCTCCACATTTTAAATAAAAATGCTCCACACAGCTGCTCTCGCTGCCTCCCTCCCACTAGAGGCTTCTGTCCCACACCTCACTTCAGAGGTGAAGCTGAGAGAGGACCCTGAATGAGGTGGCTGCCAGTCTGTGTCCATGACTCCCCTGGGCCCAGCCTGAGCACTGGGAGGACAGCAGGCTCAGTCCGAGCAGGCTCCAATGGTGACAAGTCAAGGGGCAGCAAACAGTCCCTGGTTTCCCACGAGCAAGTCTGCAGTGACCAGCCCATCTGTAAGGATGAAGGAGTGGCAGAGGATGTCATGGGACCCACCTGGAGGCAGGCCTCCTTGAGCACACCCTGGGGCGGGGGGGGGGTTGGGTGTTGGCTGCCATTTCCTCGGCTGCTCAGAGCCCCTCCAGCCACAGCCTCGTGGCTCCCATCCCACAGACACCTCCAGTTCACTGACTGCCCTTCCCTGCCCATCCTGGAGGACACTGCCTACCCCAACACATCACAGATGAATAGCACAGTCTCCCGGGTGGTCACGACAGACCCATCCCTGCCCTGCCCCTTTCTCCTCCTGTTCAGTGACCACCCTGTGTCCTCCTTCAGGGAACATGCCACCCTCCCTCCATCCCACCCCCCACTCCAGATGGCACACCCCTTTCAGAAGAGAGGCACCCACACTTTCTCTCCCCACTCTTTCCCAAGCCCAGAGTCTCGGGGACCCCATTCCATGACAACACTCACACCAAGGTGTGTCCAGGATCATCTACACTCTGAGCTGGTGATTCCTGTGGGTCCCAGGACACCAGGCACACCCCAGTGACTCCTCCTCAGCCTTCCACTGGTCCCTTCTCATCTCGGCTACCCAGAGTCAGCCCAGGCTCGGTCCTTGGCACCCACTTCCCTGGGAGGGCCTCAGTCTCCCTGATAACCAACTTCCATATCCCTCCACAGCCTGCAGAGCTTCCCTGGGACGTGTCCAGACCTTCTGGACAGCATGTCTCAAAACAGCTTCCAGGTCATCCCCCTGAAAGCTGATAGTCCCTGAGCTGTCCAGTGGCTCAGGCCCAAATTGTTGCTGCCAACTTTTGCTTCCCCTCAGCCCACCTCAGGGCTCCTTGACCCACATGAAGGGTGCACCCCCCATCCCTCTCTGTGCTCCCATTTCACACTCCACTGCCACCCCAGCCTGCATCACTATGCCTCCCACTTGTGTCAATGCTGTCACCTCCAAACAGCTTTTTTGCCTCTGCCCTTGACCCTTACCCCCATCCCCAAACTGCAACTACTGCAGAGTCACACCCAGGACCCGCATACAGGCAGACATGAATGGGTCCCCACTAAAAGTTGCCATCCTCCGTTCCAACTGGATCCCTCATGTTCTCTCTATTCCAAGCATGCTAGGTACCCTGTCCTCAGTCATATCAAGCCTGCTTCTGCCTCAGGGCCTTTGCACATACTCGTCCTCTGCCAGGACTTGCGTCTTTACTTCCTACAAGTGTTTATTCAAAAGCAGCCTTCTCATGAGGCCTTGCTGGCCACCCTTTCTGAAACCTCACCCCACCCTCAGCAACATTTCACAGTCCCTCCCTGCCTTCTCTGTCCTCCCCTGTGCATATCACTATCTAGCACGTCACTTACTTTGTTTTGTTCATTGTCTCCCAAAAGGCAGGGACTTTGTAGGTTTTCTGCACTGCTATGGACTCGATAAGGAGCTCTGGTAGCGTAGTGGTTACGAATCGGGCTGCGAAACCGCAGGGTCAGCAGTTCAAAACTACCAGCTGTTCCACGGGAGAAAGATGACGCTTTCTGCTCCCATAAAGATTACAGCCTCAGAAACCCTGTACAGGGTCGCCATGGGTCGGAACTGACTCCACGGCACATAACCACCACCACCATGGATTCGATGGCACTTAACAACAACAATGGCTTCAGCATCTCTCACAGTGCCTGGCACATGTAGCGCTTAGTGACTGTGTGTTGAGTAAAGGGGTGGATTTTGAACACCTCGTGCCAGATAATATGCAAGGCACTGGGGCACAGTGACCAACAAGGCAAATGAGGAAGGACTGGCTGATCATTCCACAAGAGCTTCATGACCGAAAGGATGGCTAGAAGGAGTGGATGTGTGGGTGGGTGGGTAGATTCCTAAATGAAAGGAAAGTGGAGTCGTTGATGGAAGGAAGGGTGGCTGGGTGGATACATGGATGGAAGGAAAAGTTGATGGATGGTTGGAAAGATGGATGAATATAACTGTGGATGCAGAGAGCAGAGGCGTGTTTGTCTTAAGGAGGTAGGCCCATGTATTTGAAGGATCACTGCATCAAAACCAACCCGAAGCCAAGCCTCTCCCTCCAAAACCCTGACAGCTATTCCGTGCCTTCGCATTCCAATTCTTCTCTTAGGCTCTCCCACCAGATTTTCACTCAATGACTGAACCAGTCACTAGTTGAGGGATGGGGTGGTCCAGAAGAGCTAGTCCCTCCTGGAGGAGCAAAGGAGCCAGTGCAGACCCCAGAGCACCCCTCCAAACCCAGTCCAGGGCCTAGCACCCAGAGCTGGTGGGACAGTCAAGTAGGAGTTGCAGTGGACAACTGCTGGCCACGTTTAGAGATGGGAGATTGGTGGGGGGGTCCCCGAATCTGCATGATGAGGGTGCAACTGCACCACCTCTTTCCTGTTCCACAAACTCAAGCCACAATGTCCTCCTTGGAAGGCTGACTCCTGGGTCAGTGTGGTCCGGTCCTGCCTGTCCGGGTCCTGCCTGCCCCTGTCCTGGAGCTGTCTACTGTGGGTACAGTCCACCTAGGAAAGTGCAGGCCGTGCCCACACACAGCTGCATAAACAAGAAGAGAGCAGCAGTTCTTGGCTTGTGAGTGTGGAGATGACCCGCCCAGGAGACTGGAGCTGGCAGAGGTACCTGCACAACCACACAGCCCTCTCGGGAGGACACTGGTCACAACATCCTGGAACAGGCTTCCAAGCACCCAAGGGGCTTGCAGACGCAGGTGGGTACCAGGACAGTGGGGACCCCCGAGGAAGGCCTGCTGTCTGTGGAAGCATGCTGGCTAATGGAATGCAGCCACGGAGCATGGTGGATGGGAGTGGCCAGCTCCCTGTCCCTGGACATGTCCCAGTACAGTCCACAGGCCACAGTCCCCTCCAGTGGCCAGCTCCCTGTCCCTGGGCATGTTCCAGCACAGTCCACAGGCCACAGTCCACTCCAGGTGCAAAAGGGGCCATTGTAGAGCCCCTTCTCCTGAGCTCTGCCATCCAAAGCCATCCTACCCAGCATAGTGGGCACAATTTGATGAGGCACCTAGGCCCCTGTTGCCCTGCTGTTGATCCCCCAGGGCACCCACATCCCAGCCTAGAGGAGCTGGGCAGGGCTGCTAACCTCTTTCTCCTCCTCCAGAAACTCACATGCCAGAGCCTTTCAGCAAGGCTGCTCCTCCTGCCTTAGGTCCATGTCTGCCCCAACGGGTGCCCACATGGACCATGGCTGGCCTGGTACCCTGTCCTTGCCCCTCCTAGCCCCCAACACAGATCCCTGTTGTCCACAGAGCCTGTATTGGTACCAGGGCTCAGCTGCAGCCACAGATACCCCTAATGTTCAGACATTGTCACATACCCTTGGGGAGGTACAAAGGGGTCTCCCCTAGGCTGATCCTGGGTGCCCCCTGTCCTCTGACCCACCTAAGCTAGAGCCTAGACCTGCCAGGTTTGCTCCCTCCAGGGTCATCTTCATCTAAGCCCTCAAAGACATCAGTCATGCTGGTCCCACATTGTGTGCAAGGGGAGGGAGCCCCACCATCAGGGCTGGACAAAGGGTCCCACACTCCCCAAACCCCAGAACAGCTGCACCCACGAACTGCCACTCTCCCAGCTTCGCCCTTCACTCAGCAAATCTCTTTGCAGCTCTCTCTCTCTCTTTTTTCCCTTTAAGATAAAACCACATTTCTGTCAAAAGAAAAACAAAGAAAATGATGTTTCAATTTAGGAAGAAGAAATTGCTGGGAACAGAAGCAGCTGCTGTTTTCCAGTGTGTCAGGGGCGGCCCGTCGGTATTTAATTCCAAATCGGCATCCGGGGTTGTTAAAGGCACAAAGCACATGGCATGAAACCCAGGGAGTGGGTGCTCCCCATGGGAGAGCGCCGACTCCAGTCACCAGGCCAGAAAGGGTGGGCCCCACCACAGGGGGCTCCTGTGCAGACAATCAAACCCATCTTGTCACCAAGCAAAGTTGCCTTCAAGTCCTGAGATCACTGCTGATACCATGCCGCCCTTGGAGCATCTGTCTCTATGAAGGTTCCAGGTGAGCATCCCCGCCCATGGGTCCAGGCAGAGTGCCCATCCTCACTCAAGGTCCCCATGTCCACTTCCTGTGGGGCAGCTTAAGGTCCTGTAAGATGAAGCCTAGGGAGACCCCAGGCCCAGGAGACGTGTCTGTGATGAAGTACACATCTGGCTGGACTCAGTGACACCCACACCCCAGAGAGCCAGTGCCCCTTCTGACCAGTCACGCAGGCCCCTTAGGGACCATGAGCCAGGACCTTCCTTAGCAAGGCTGGGCAGAGGACTGAGGGTCAAGAGGCAGCCAGCAACTCCCTGAACAGGCACTCCCACTTGACCCCAAGCCCACAAATGCACACATACAAATGTTATCCAAAAAAAAGCATAGAATGAACGAACAACTGAAGAGTGGGGCTAGGGTTCTACCCAGGACAGTGCCCACCTCCTGGAACTGTCCTCAGAACCCTATGGCCTCTGCAGCGTCCCACACCGTAACCCTGACTTCTGGGTTTGTCTAAGCCAAAGGGGCAACAGACCAGGGCAGGACTCCACCCTGTCTGCAAGGCCACAGCGGCAGTGACAGCCTGAGCACCGGGCAGAGCAGCA